GTCCCACTGGGTGCCAGGGGGGGTGCCAGGGGCCTTCCCAGGGGTGCCAGGGGCAGGGGACTGGCTCACTCCACTCTACAAGCCCTTGCAGGCAACTCCCCAGGGTTCTGGGGTGGCCGTGCTGATGGTGCTGGGGTGCCTGACATCCTCTGCCCCCCAGCACTGTGACACCCCAGCCCTGCCTTTGCTCCTCCCCAGGTCCTGCTGCAGATCCTCATCATCCTCACAGGTAACTACAACTTCTTCAACATGCTGACCATCGTCCTGGCCTTCTCCCTGCTGGATGAGGAGCACGTGGGACCCTGGCAGGGACGTGGCAAGAGGAGACACGCCAGCGGTGAGTCCCTGGGTGCCTGTTTGAGGGGTGGGGTCCCTTCTCTGCCATGCACAGGGTGGGGAGGGGACAGGCCACCCTCACTGTCACAGTCCAGCAGTGACAGGCAGCGTTCTGGCTGCCTGCAGCTGCCCTCCAGCTCAGTGCCTGCCCCATGCCCGTGGGGTGCTCGAGCCAGGACCCCTTGAAATGGCCTCTGGGCACATGCCCAGCGCTGCCCACTCGCCCTCTCCCTGCTTGGGCTCTCAGGGAGGGGGGACAAGGTCAGCACCCCTGTGTGCTGTGGTGGGTCAGGCTCATGGAGCCCCCCAGAGTTCAGCTGCCCTGCTCTGCCCCAGCCTGGCCCCCCAGCCTGCGCTCCCTGCTCTCCACGCTGCTGGAGCTGAGCACCTACAGCCTCCTGCTCTACTGGAGTGTCCAGTACTTCGGCCTGGAGATCAACTGGGAGAAGAAGCTGCTGGACTCCAAAGTGGGTACGTCATGGCCAGGCCAGTGGGGGCTGCCAGTCCCCCGACCCCCCGCCCCCCCCATAACACCTGGGGCAGGGGCAGCTCTTCTCTGACCCCCCGCCATGCCCCAGCCTTCACCTATCACGAGTTCATGACATGGCTGCGGGCGGTGACCCTGCCACTGGTGGGACTGGCCTTCCTCTCACTCTCCTGGGAGATACTCTCTGCCATGTACAGGTGGGTGATGGGGACATCAGGGTCCCCCCAGGACTCACAGCTCTGCTCTGAGGGCTGAGTGGGGATGGGGCACCCAGTGCCCTCCCCAAGGTTCTGGAGAGACCTTCTAGTGGCCTCCCAGTACCTGAAGGGGCTCCAGGAAGGTGGGGAGGGACTTTGGCCAAGGGCAGGGAGTGAGAGAACAAGGGGTGATGGCTTGAAAGTGTCAGAGGGGAGATGGAGCTGAGATGTGAGGAAGAAATTGTTTGGTGTGAGGGTGGTGAGCCAGTGTCCCAGGTTGCCCAAGGAAGCTGTGGCTGCTCCTCCCTGGAAGTGTTTGTGGCCAGGCTGGGTGAGGCTTTGAGCAACCTGGTCTAGTGGAAGGTGTCCCTGCTGCTGGCAGGGGGGGGTGGGACTGGATGAGCTTTAAGGTCCCTTCCCATCCAACCCAGTCTGGGACTCTGTGATTTGTGTGTGGAGGGACACTTGGAGCTCGTGAGCGCTGGGGTGCTGGGTTCATTAGGAGGGGTCTGTTGGGTGCAGCGTGGGTGGTCCTGAACCCCCCCAGCTTACAGCCAGAGCCCCAGCCTGGGCTGGTGCAGCTCTGACCCAGTTCTTCCCCCCTCTCAGGTCTGCCTGTGTTCGTGGCTGCTTCTGGAAGCTGTGGGCCACGCTGCAGTGGGCTGTCTTCACCACAGCACCCTGGGGATGTTTGCCATCAGCCTGGTGAGCGGGCGGGCAGGGGACAGCGGCGTGTGCGCTCGTCTTGGGGTACAGGGAGCAGGAGACCCCCCGAGCTGCAGTGACAGAGCCACTCTCTGCTGTTCCCCAGGTGCCTTTCACCTACATCGACTACGAGTCCACCGGCAAGCTCTGGCCTGGCATCCACCAGATGTTCAATGCTGTGGAACGGTTCCAGGTGGTGAATTCCTACGGGCTCTTCCGCAGGATGACGGGAATCGGGGGAAGGCCCGAGGTGGTGCTGGAGGGCAGCTACGACAGGCAGAGCTGGACTGTGAGTCACCCTTTGC